TTTTTTCTTAGAGCTGTGAATTTCTGTACCTTCAAAGTTATTTCATTTACAGCACCCTGGGACCACGATGGCAGAGAAGAGACAAACAACTGAACTTAATAGCAGCTGGGTTGAGGCTTTTATAGGATTATAGGTATGTATTTTAGAAAAGCATTTAAAGGCCTTAGATGATACAGAGCATAACCTGGGAGAGAGTGTCAGAAAAAAAGTCTTGCCAAGGGCTTTTCTCAGTAAAGATGGAAAGATGGGCTGCTTGAAAGGTTGTTTGTAACAGAAACTTACCTGTAACTTTCCAGTACATCTAGAACCACCAGCAGAGGTGTTGATAATGTGAAATGTCTCTCCTTGAGTTCGGTTGGCTTAAGTGTGTCTGCTCTTCCTGAGGTGGTCGCTCAATGCTTTTGCTCACATAATGTCCACAGAGAGAAAGGCTGACCAGTTCCTGGATTCAAAAAGAAAGGCATAATTATGGATAACATAATTTAAAAATGGCACTTTGAAGATCAATTTTCCATTTTTATATTTCTAAAATCTTTCTTACCACTCATGAATATCAGCAAAACCCAGGAGGGCTGCAAGCACTCAGCACCACAGGACCTGCTGTATGATAGCTTAGACTGACTTTGTTTTTCTCAAATGGAAGGGCTTGGTGACTAAAGGCTCAATCTATGATCCTTGTCTTGACAGTTATAAAAGTTGCCTGCCCATAGCATCAATTTTCTGAAAATAAACCCAGAACTGGTGCCCAAACCAACTTCAGTCACGGAGCAGCCCCCGTGAACTTCCCTCACCAACACAGTTGGTTGTGTTGCGGGTAGAGGCAATACCCAAGGAGCTGCCACAGTGGCTGTCCTTGTCATTCCTCAGGAAATTCCTCAGCTGGCAGCCATTTCAGTAGAGGGAGGCTTTTACCCCCCTTTTTTTGGAAACCTGTTCCAAGGGTTTCTTTTAACCCCGACCACAGCTTCCGTCTGCATGCTAACAAAGCAGTGAGCAAAGGAAGCACTCTTCAGTCAGCTCTGCTCTGAAGGCCTGGCAGAAGCTGGAGTGCAGAAATTGGGAAAAACTTGCCAGGGGAAGCAGTGAGGTGTGTCAGTGCACAGGGGACCACGCAAGGGACAGGAAACTGACTCTAGAAATGGTGGCAGCACTCCAACCTGAAGCCAAACCTGCTGATTGCTGCCTTCTTCAAAAAAATCTAGAAGAGTAAATAAACATCTCATAAAGGAGTCAAAAGCACTGCATGTCAAATAATATGAAATTTGACATTGCAGCCTTCTGCTACAAATCCTCTATCATTCTCCTATGAAGTGGCAATGCAGACGTTTCTAAAAGAAGCTCTTCAGCAAAAAAAAGCTCTGGAGTGTGACTAAAAATATGTTGTGCTTAATTTTTTTTTTTTTTGGTTGTTTTTTTGGTGAAAAGAGGTACCAGACTTTAGAGTTCTTGTAAAAATTAAATAAGGAAAATAACATTATTATCTCAAGCAGTTTATGGAAGTGGGTTAAAATTAATATGACTGTGTCTATTTTATATGAGGACACCTAGAAGGATAAACTTAATTTTCCAGACTCACAGTAAGGAAAGAATTAGAATCCTTTGCCCTGATCACTGATCAGATAATAATTAATAAGATGACTTTTACATACATAATACATCGTATTACATTGAGGCAGAAGTAAGATTGGTGGCTTTTCATGTGAAAACATATCTCTTTCTATTTTGGTGGTTTTAATCTTGTATTTATAAGACTTTCTGATCTTACAATGTTTGTTTTAGGAATACCACAACAGCCTCATAAAAGGATTTTATGCCAAATCACTGCTATGTATGTTCTCAACCTCATTATAGATTTTATCTAGGAATATGTATGTGCATTCAGTTACTTGATGCAGAACAGTTAACAGCAATCAGGAAGCTTATTTTCAGTATCAAAGTGGAGTTACATTCTCTTCCCCTAATAAGGTGTTTGCAGACAGGCATCTGGAGAAGCCCATCACCGCATGAGACATCTCTAACTACATGAAGTCAGTGTCTGTCCCTGCAGTTATCTGGGAAGGTGACATCAGCAAGTTATTTCAGCCAAAGGATCATATAGAGTTCAAAGTTTTCTTGCATTTTTGACAGATTTGAATTTAATTTGAAAAGCTACACTCCTAAATATTTTGTATTAGTTTAATCATCCCTTAATTTTCAATTCATTGTTTAGAAATGCCACCTATTTTCCATTTTAAAAGTGTAACCCATTTCCTTTATTTGTCTTTGTTTTTATAATATACCATATTCTGCAATGATCTCCCTGCCAAAAATAAAAATTATTTTCTCTACTGATTAATGTCAGTACTTTTCCAATAAATTCCTCCTACAGAGAATCCTAACTCAAATAGCAACGATGAATTCAAAACAGCTTTATAAATGGTGTGCAACTAGTCAAAAATATTTGTCATCATAATTTCACATATCTGCCATCTCTTTTGGACAGGGACAGGAGATTTGTTTTCCAGCAGCATCTGAGGCAATGGCATCCACTTTGTATATAGGATTATTTGTGTCAAAGCAATTTTGCATGCTTTTCAGCCGTAATGCTCAAGGGCAGCTGAGATCTATGACATTTTGCAGTTGCATGCTGGGACTAGTCATCCCCCACAGGGCATACTTCTCTTATTAAAGGGATTACAATCTCCCCATTTTCTGCATATTGATTCAGATCTTCAGCTCCATGCAAGCTGCCAATGCAATCACTTTGTTGGGCAACATTTGGATGTTTCTCTCTTAGGTTTTCCAGCCTGTTTTAATATACAGTATCTGCTCTGTTCAGATCTTGGCTGTGTTGAACTTTCTTTTCTGGAACTGCAAATTGTCATAAGTTTGGCTGCCTAGCACCACTCTCTAATGTAATACTCCCTAACCCATCTTTAAAAGCCTGCCAAAGTCAGATTACTGCAAACATGAAGATCAGATATGTCTAATATAACTTTAGAAAAACCATGTGCTATTTCCGCATTGCTATTATTGTTCTGGAAAGAAAAGCAGCAACAAAAGGATTTGACATCTACTGTCTGTTCTGGTAGTTGCAGTGGCTACTTAGAAGAAATAGATATAATGCACATGGCAGTCCTGCAGGACATATATGTTTTCTTTATTTATTTATTTTAATACAAATTCTAATTAGGCTGCAAGTCTCATATACAACACTATATTGCTTTCTTCATAAAAACAAAATAAAGCCTGAAACTTTCAGAATGTATTATCTTTCTATATTGGAAGTCATCTTACATGACATAACCAAAGCATTTTCCACCACAGCTAAAGGAAATGCCTCCTTCTATTTCTCTGCTAATCTAACACAAAAATGGTCACAGCAGCGACTCAGGAAAGGTGTCTGTTTTTCAGACATACAGTTTTCTGTTTCCCACTGAAGTAGCCCCATTGTACTATTGAAAAGTTACTCTGAAAACTTTTATGTCTTATAAATGCAAAAACAATTGTTACTATGTTCTGTAAATTGTCAGACAAAACCCTCCCAACATACTTCAAAAAGCTTTCTTGACTTTAGAGACATTAGTACAGTTGATTAGATAAGGGATTTCTTTCTGAGTGGTAGACAAATTCTTAAAATATCATGGAGCTGTGAAAATATCCCATCATAGCAATATTACTATAGCCAGTTATGTCCACAGAGCCAAAAAATGTAGTCCATTGTGCTAGAGATAACCCTTTTTCCCCCATTATTGAAATGGATGTTACAATGAATTTTCCAGTCAATAACTAAATCGCAGCTGTGCAAAATATCCAGTACAATAATTATCCTATAGCTACAAGACTTCCACACTTTATTTCCAGGTTCTTCTTCAGGTATGCAGTGAGTTTTCATGGAAAGACAAGTTTGAGAGACACTAACACAGCAATGCTGAAGCCAGCAAGAGCAATGGTTACTTTGAATTACTTCACTGTGGAAATTGTCGCTGTAAAATCAGTGTGACTGACCAAGGGCGAAAAGAGTAGACTTTGGCCAGGTTTGTTTGGCACCAGTGACTAAAAACCTCACAGGAAAAGAGACTTGTAGCTCTGTAATGTTTAGATTACCTTCCCTTTTTCACTGCTTATGAGCTCTGAACACAATCCCCTTAAGGAAAGTTGTCATCACCACAATGCTTTGGGGGAAATCTGAGCTTTGTATGCAGACTTCTCTCCATCAGAAGAAATTACAGCAAAAATACAACTACCTGCAATGGTAGTGTACAATGATATCATACTGATACTGAGTATTTATTCTTCAAACAGTGTTTGGTGTGCAGTCATTCAAGGGAAAGACATGCAAATAAGACATCTGGGAATTTCTGCAACACGAGATGCTCCTGAAGTACTGGGCATACTAGCAGCATGATATTCATTCCATATTTTTTGCTGACTATATCTTGAAAATGTGTAAATTGAGCATAGTTGGTTGAGCAGGTAGTTGTTGTGCTAGTAACAGCAAAGTTGTGGCTTTGATCCCTGTATGGGCCACTCACTTTAGAATTGAATTCGATGATCCTTGTGGGACCCTTCCAATGCTGTATTTTCTGTGATTCTGTGAAAATGGACATTAAGTGACTGAAAAGTATGGTGTACTGCTAGCAGGCTAACTAGCTTTTCAGGTCCCGGTCATCTTCTCCCCAGTCCCTGGTGAATGCCATGCTGACACCACTACAAAATTTCAAAAATTTATTCTTTTATAGTTTGCATTGCCCTAACCTCCTCTCTCAGTCACCTCCTGAGAGACACACTGTCAGCAGACTCTATCCTGGGCCCCTGTGCATGGTTTGAAGGTCAGTCATGTTCTGTTTTTGTATATCCCAGGTGAGTTCTCAGGGGTGAAAAGACAGCCAGTTCTGCAGGGCTCAGAGACCAGCACCTGTCTGGCTTGAAACAGGCTGGGTGTACCCAAGAAGAGTAAGAGCATCTCCTCTGAGCTAACCTGCATGTGCTGCCTATCCCACAGCCTTTGGTGGAGTCCTTACTTCCAGCTACAGCAGCAGGGATTTACTAAGCACTAATCATTACATCCCTTGGGATGCATTTGTATAATCCATGGAAACCGGACTGCAGAATTCTCCATGCCTTAGTACTGGCTCTGTAATCACTAGATAAATACTGTTTCTGCTAGCTAGCTATCATCAATTAAAACAATATGCTCAAAAATATTTAATGGTCCCCATGCTAACCCTAGTCAGGACTCATTTTCTGAAACCTCTGTGGCCAAACTAAGAGACACAGATAATAAATTGGTGCTTTAAATACAAATAAATAAATACCAAAACTATTTCTGTGATTAGACAAACATCTCAGTGGGTATATGAATCTTGCTAGCATGACATTCACAGTATAAGACAGAGGCAGAATTTTCCACATTAAGGTCTTAAGATAGGATATTCCATCAGTCCACTCCTCAGACAATTAGCATATTAGCTAAATTTGCTGACAGACATTCTATGTGAGATTTATATCTCCTTTCAGTCCAAGTGAAATATTTGTCTTTCTGCAATGTTTTCCAAGAACATACAGCATGTTTGAGAACTTTACTGTCCTATTTTGATAACTAAGTCCAAAATTAAGCTTAAAATGAATTGCCCAGCCCAGCTCTCATGAAATGTCAAACTGAAGCTGGCAAAGAAAGATAACAGATCATAAAGGTGGCATTCTCAGGGAGCTAACTGGTGCCATTATACTTTAGGCTCTCTCCATTGCTACTCTGTGTACCCTTACTTGGGTTTATAACTTGGCTGAAAAAATGTTTTCTGGGCAAAACTTGGCAGACAAGGTCTTAACTTGAGAGCAAATGCATTTTAAAATAAATTTCCACAAAAATAAAGGGAAATATCTGTCTACAGTGAAGCTTTGAGCAATGCATAGTCAAAATGGTAAGCTGATCTCGTAAGCTGCAATACACCCTGGTACAAGCCCTGAGGGTTAGCTCTGCCCAGCCTGTCACTGTTCCCCACAGAGAAATCAACACCACAGCTGCTTTCACCCTGGAAAAGACTCTTCCACCAGCTCAGCTGAATCAGAAGTGGGGAGAAAAAGAAGCCATGATGCTTGCAGGGCTGAAAAAGTTTGTCCTCTTTGGAGCAGCTGCTGGCACAGGGCTAAGAACTCAGGGTCACAGTCGTTCCGCCACTTATGAGAGCCTGTGGCAGAGCTAGAGCCCAGCCCTTCCATGGAAAAGATTTGGTGGTTCCTCATTTTGTGTGATTTGCAAACACCCTTCTAGCATTCACACCCTCTATATTCACAGAATGAGTGGAAAAAATCACAACATCCATACCTCCTTCAGTGGTGTTTTCTCTGCTGGATTGCCAAAGCAAGTCAGATATTTCTTAATCCTCTTTAACGTTCCCAGTACAAGACACACTGCAGGTTGTTGCCTGCCTCCAAAAAGACCACCACATGAGGAAGTAACATACTTTTAAGTCACTCAGAGTCAGAGAAAATTAAGCCCTCTCCTACTTACCTACTCTTTTGATGTCATTTCAGGCACAGTGGAAAGGTCTCAGCAGTCTTGAGATAGTCTTTGATTTTCCCATCTTGAATCAGATCTTATCCCAGAGACCCAGCAGACAAAGAGCCACTAATTTCACCTAAATATCTGAAATACACATGGAAGTTTTCTCTTTTTATGGTCAGATACCACTTACTTGTATTGCAGCAGTCATGCTATACCATAAGGATATATGATATGTCTGGACCATCTGTCTGAGGCTGTGGGGAAGATTGGGAAGGACTCAAGTATTCCCACCTTGTTTTTATTCACCAAAAATGTTAGTTCTTTTTGAACTAAAGATGTTTGTAAATGATAGCTAAATTCAGGACAGAGAAAAAAAGCTTCTGATTAATAAGCAAGAAATGCAGAAATTTCAAAACAGTTCATTTCAACATTTCTAAAAAGAAATGTTTTGCTTTTCTGGATTAGGTTCAAAAAGCACATTAAAATATTCCATTAAAAAAACCTCAAAACAACCTACCAACAAAAAGCAAACCAACCAAAGAAAAAAATGGCTATATATGACATATAGCCCATAGTTTGAGCCCTCTATTTGCACATGAGGAGCATTTTGAACATCCTGTCTTCCTGGAGAGGGCACTCATTCACCTTTGAACAAGTCATTCCCACTTGTCCTTTCTGTCCCCATGAAAGTTTATTTGCTCTAAACTACCCCAGAATTCCCAATATCTGACTGCTTGGAGGGTACACAGCCTTGGTTTAACATTCCTGTTATGACTCAAGCTCTTAGAAAAACCATCTCCATACTCTCCTTCTCAGTTATAAAGTAAGAAAAAGAGCAACAACAGGTAAAAATTCTGAAACAACATAACCTTAGTTTCCATTTTGGCCATTGAGATACAGAATTGTAATGGTTTTGATTCTCATAGGACATGAATTCTCATAGATCAAGCTTAAGTTTTAACAAATATGTACACTTTAGAAAAATACCCGTCTTCAGTTCCTCAACATTGTGCAGTGAAATATAATCATTTTAAGTGGCTGAGACACAAGTCCTAACAATAAACTTGTGTCACAGAAGATTTAATGTGGTAATATTGTTCTAGTAGAACTAAAAGGTAGATTTATAATCTAGAAGATCTAGAAGAATTGAGAGTAGATTTGTATTAACTCTTGGCATGGAATTTTCTGGTATTGTCAAGAAATTATGAATTTCTAGGAACAGCATATAAATGTAGATAAGAAACATCAAGGCCAGTGCCTGATTTTACAGTGGGTAGACAAATCAAGTCCTGATACTGTGAATCCAGCTATTTCTGTTCAATACAGCTCCTGAGACATTAGCTATTATTAGATTAAGCTCCTGGAAACATTTGACTAGATCACTATATCAGATACATCTTTTGACCTCATTAACTACTGAAACTAGCTAGCAGTAGGAAATACTCTCTTGCATGTCTTTCAGTACAAGAAGTCTCAGAAACTACTTTTTTACCAGTTCCCAACAGGCAAAAAGAGATGTCCTCTGAGACTCCACTGGGAGCTCACCCAGATCCACCTCTCTAAGTTTTTCTGCCTGTTTCCTCCTTTGCACATACTGAAAATGGTACTATATGTATACGTATACTAAACAATAGTCCTTCCATAGTTGTGTATTGTTCTACCAAGACATTCCAAATGTGCAAATTTTTTTCCTGCAGAAGACACGCCAGTGTTAAAAAATGGGCCACCTGCATTTTTTGGAATTAGAGTAAAAATTATCTTCAGCCATGTGTGAAATTAAATATATTAATTTAAAACATTCAATAAATAAAACCTTGATATCTATATTTAAGGAATTTTATGGATGCCACTCTTAAAGATAATTGCAATACAAAGAAATGGTGGGGTTAAATGTTGAACATATGAGAAAATTAAGCTGATGTGTGTAATCTAATATAAACACTGTTAATTGTTTGTTTTTCTTGGTTTTCTTATACTCATTCTCTCTCCAAGTCACTTGGCATTCATTCCTCAGTAAACCAATTACTTCAGGGCTCTATTAGATTTATGTTCACTGCTCCCAGTCAACTCTTATACACATGAAACCTTATTCATGATGTGCAAGAAAAAGCCTTAAGAGAGCTGAGATCCAGGGGATTGGCCATGTTTGATAGAAAATATGGAGCAGAACCTCTGCTAAAGTCAGTCTTCTCAGGACTGACTGCAAGTCCTTTAGAGGCACTCAGAGCTTAACTTGTTGTGGCAGCAGTGGCACTATTTGAATGCTTAGGACTGGATGGAGAGCTTACAACTGTTCCTCACTGTTCCAGGTTCTTGTTCCAGTTTGTCATCAACAAGTCCAGACACTGGGCATCCGTACATCCCTGCACACGGCTGACTGCAGCAGAGATCCCACTGGAGGCTCAGGACATGAGATGGCATGTGGAGAACCTCCTGACTGATGAAGGCTTTTAAAAGCTCAAACATGGTCATTAGCTGCATCCTTACAAAAGGACAAACATCATTCCAGCTGCTTTGAAGAAAGCTGGGTTACGATATTCTGATAGATCAAAGCAGCAGTTTAAAACTAGTTATAATTAATAATCTTGACAGCCTTCGAAATGGCTGCCATTTTGTCTTCACCAAGCTGAAAGAGAACTGTTCAATATTGCCATTTTTATTTGCCCCTGCCACTTTCTCTCTCAATATATGATAAAATTTTGTTAAAAACTGCTATGATTTCTCAGTAATCTGAGAGGATAACCACAGCTGCAGTTTTGAGGTTACCGGCAAGTCCTGCTACTGGCAACCTTCCGTCAGTCTTGTTAAGAAAGTTGCCACAATTTTACCACAAATAGTAAGTCTGTGGCATGCTGCAGAACTTGCGTACCACTGCCATGAGCTTAACAAAGTGATCATTCCTGTTAACAGTCACTCTCTAAAACTGCTTGAAAACTGGGCTTCAGCCAAGCCAATCTGGTTTACATTATGCAAAGTATTTTAGTATGAAACCTTTTAATAGAAATCATCACTAGAGTCACTTTGAGATTATACCTCCTATCTGCAAGACTTGAAAAATTGATTGTAATATTTGCTTTTTGGATTATCTGTACTGCTTTATACACACACACAGAGAGAGAGAGAGAGGGAGAGAGGGAGAGAAAAAAGTCATTGAAAGCATGTTTAGCCAAAACTTAAGTACAAGTTATTTTGTAAACATTATTAAAGTGCATGTTCAGCAAATCCATTTGGCTGCATTAGCTCATACATTCATGCATCTTCTGAGTCCTGAAGCTGTGTTGCTAATAGTACAGAGGAAGGCCTATACAAAAGTGTGTTTGTGTTGCCTTTTAATTTCATAGGTTATAGAGATCTTATATACAAAGTCAACTACAAAAAATCTAAATCTATTAATACGTGGTGATGAGTATTAATTAGGTAAAACAACCTGGTTAAGGATTTTAAATGAAATCTGCTGAAAACTTCATCTAAATTGATTAATTTGTACAAAGTTTCAGTTTTTGATATCTTTGCTGAACACCACTGAAACACTGAATCATCATGGTTTTCATTGCATTATTTATTTTCTTATATCCGCAAAAGTATAAAATTAATTCTCCAAGAGAAATGACAATTTTATCAATGATTTTAAGCTGGGGTGTTCTTCCTGTGTTCCACAAGTATCCAACTTTCATTTGAGTTGCCTTTTGAAAAAGACATCAAACATCAAAAAGTCTTCTGTAGAAAGCTAAATAATTCATATTTGTTACCAGAGCTGTTTTTGCAATAAGTCCAGTCATTTGGCATGTAGTTTCTCAGATGCATGTGCAATCAAGCGTGTCATTGCATGTACATTTTGCTTATAATCAAATTTTTCAATAGTTCTTGTTGTACAAGTTAGCCATGCCTCATCTTGTTTTATGAGTTAGCATATCTCTGAGAAGTCTGGACAATTTAAACACTGAAGGACTGTAGTTCTGATCGAAGAAAACATTGTGGCTGGTCATATAGGAAAAGTCCTTCTTAAAAGACTACAGATTTTTATATTTTTTTAATAGCAAAACATTCACCTATTCAGCAGATTTTAATATTTTTTTTCCAGAAGAACTTGAAAGTATATCAAATTGACCAGTCATTAAATGCTGACATTATATTGCAGCTGCCTTCTCTCATGATTATATCATTCTCTCCATTACTGAAAAGAATTTAGCACAACCATCCATTTTATAGTGTTTTCTTTACTAAAAAGTAATATGTTTGACTGATAAAAATGGAACCAGTCTGTTCTTCAGGGTGAAAAACAATTTCCAAACCTCTGCTATTTTAAAGGCTGGCACAATGGTAAATCTACAAATCCCAACTAATTTCACTGGTGTTGGATGTCCTTGAAACAAAACAGATGCTGGAGCTCTTTTTATGTACTGCTCAGTGTGAATTTTTGGATTCTGGAAACCAATTAAAAGGGACAGGAAAATTATTGGGAGCTTTCACTTATATCACCTTTTAGTCTTTAACTATGTTAGACTGCTCAATCTTGAATTGATATAGTGCCCAGAAAGACCCTCACTATTCATTCCATTCCTTCTGACAGTGGAATTCTAAAAAAAAACAGAAGTGCTGTAAATAAATGGACAAACATTGAGCTGAAAAACATGCAAGCATTCCCTTCCAAAATCTTTAGCTTAGGAGTCATCTCAATTTTTTTCAAATCATTTATGCGAGTAACACGCATGTTTGATCACATGACATCCAGCTTGGACACTACGATAAAAGAGATTACTTTCATAAATATTAAGAATAAATTAACTGATCTAGGTAATGAAAGTCTTGACTATCAGTAAAATGTCTCCTCAGAATGGTTCATCTTCAGAAGAATTTATTTCTTCCTGACCCGAGAGCAAGTTAAATTTGACACACAGCCCAAGAGTGTTTAGACTACATGTAGTCTTAATTAATGTTAGGACATTCTTTTAGCAGTCTGTGACCATGACGATGGCTTAAAAATTCCTCTGATTACATTTTTGATACAGAATTAGGTGCCACATTACTAATTCTGTGGCACTTATTGTTCACTTTCAGACAGAGGCTGAGGTACCCTCTTGTCTATGGGTTTGAGTCCATCCCATGCCATAAAAAAAAAAATCATCTTAAAACACTACAAATGAACATGGATTTGGATGGCTTTCTGTACCCAAAGAGCATGGAAAAGTTTTGACCATATTAATGAGTTAGGAGTTTTTCCCACTATGTTTATAAACAGAAACAAAACTTTTTGGTGGACTTACAGCATAATTCAATTGCCCTTCAAAAAGTGAACAAGTTTTGAATGTTTTGTTTATGTTTCTATAGACAAGGTGTAATGGTTCTGCTGAGACACATTACATTCCTGGCTCCCAGTAAAATATTTAATCCTTGCCTTCTTTCTCTTTTCTAGTTTTGAGCCTTCTTTGCACATACAATATTGCACCTATTTATAATCAAGTTGATTTTTTAAAAAGTATGTCTTTCAGCAGATCTGCCTTTTGCTCTCTCTCTAAATTACCCTGTTCATGTGGTCTCCTAATCAGACTGCTGTAGCTGTGTGTGAATTCCTTCTTTTTTTCAGAACAATCCAGTATATATATTGTTATGATGAAATTTTAAAAACAACACAATGTAGCATTAAATTACAAAGACAAGCATTTATGCAACCATTCAATGTCCATGGCAGAAAATTATAGTCTGCAGTCATACTCCTCCAGAAAATATTTCCTTCTTGAAATGCTTTGGCTATTTTTTTGGCATGAAAGAATTGACTGTTGTTTCCTAACATACCAGCATGAATGAAATTCATCGCAATGCAATCAGCACAACACTTGCTCTAACTTAATCTGAACAAGTCAACTTTGCAAGGACTTCAGGTAGATTTTGTCATGATTCATAAGTGAAACAGAGTAGTCCCTTCAACCTTGAGTCCCTGCTCTATATCTTACTGCCCTTCTGTAAGGTGGTTTCTGTTTCTCCAGTCCTACACTGAAATATATTTTGTCTTACAGACTCAGGAGCTTGACTCAACATATCACATTGCATATGATCTCCTAACCAGATTCAATAATCAACCCAAAGAGAAATAATGTAATAAATGCCAAACGAGACAAACCTTCTTCTGATTATTCACTCTTCTTTCACTTTGTTGAACTCAGAATAATAATTTGCAATTCTTTTAATAAAGGAATTTCTCTGCACATAATAGCTAAGCACTTCTTCATATATCTAACTATTCACTCTAAGTTTAACTTAGAATTTTTTAAAGAATTTTTTCCAAGGCAACCTGAGCCTTTTATTCTAATTGACATCATCATTAGGATATTTTACCATCTAATCAAAACATAAACTGTAGAAAAGTTAGACAGAAAGAGATCACAGAAAAGACACTGGGGATCACAGGTAGAAAACAATGGGCAAAGTCTGAAAACTAGTCTCTGATGAGTTCTCATACGCCAGGGTTTACTCTGTGAAATGGTTCTGCAGTTTATCTCAGCTGCTGCTTCAGTCAATGTATTCGTACTGTCCAAGAGTAACTTCACAAGATTGGCTGACACCAGGCATTTAAGCAGCTATTAAAATCTTGCTTAAGACCAGAGACAGAGAAGTGCTTCATCATATGGGCCTATATGAGCAAGATAAAACCATTCAAGAGACTGTTTCCATTTCCATATTTCCATTTCAAGCCTTCCTTGTTGATATACACCTGTAACGTCTATGCAGATTCTGTTTATGTTCATGAAATACTGCACAAAGTGAATCTACAAACAGATTTCCTAAGTGCCCTTTTAGCTTCATCTGGTTAGGAAGCCCAGAGTGTCACAGGGCCATATTCACCCCTGAAGCATCCAGATGAGGTTGAAATTCAGTCTCTGAATTTGCCATATTTCAAGTGGTTTTGTGCTAATTACTGCACCTCCTGTAATTTAAGTTGTTTTTTAACTTCATTAGGAAGAAATCCAGAGTAAACTCTTTCCCCTGTTACTATCAGCAGAAGCTGTTGATGAAATATGCTCAGTCACAGTGAACCAGCCAGAATGAACAGACTGTGGTTTCCTGTTCCAAGGAAGGAAACAATTGTTTTTTCTCTGAAGTACATAAAAGAGGCTGCTTTTTTGTAGGTAAACATAAGAAAAAGTGTGTAAGACACGCACTTCCTTTTGCAGCCAGCTCAGTTCAAAAAGACCAAGATTATTATGCATGTATCTGAAATGAATTCAGGATCAAGTAACTCAACATGTAAATCCAACTGCTGATAAACTGTAGTTCTTGAAATACACTCTATGTCTCTACTTTAAGCTGGGGAAATATTACCTGGCAGAAGTTCAAATTCTGATGACACAAACAACTGAGAAGACAAGAATAATTAATTCTTCTATGTCTGTTTTAGTTGATAGCTAAGAAAACTTTAAATATGTTGCATCTTCAAAAAAATAAATTACTTTCTGATTAAAATTAAAAATACAGCCAATTATGCATTAAAAATGAAAAGTGGCTATATTTCTAGTGCTGCTTTTTTTTCATTAGATGGGTTAAGGTGTATACTGAAAAGCTTTTTTTAAAAGCCCAGGAATTATCATTTCATGGCCTGATCTAGGTAGTCAGCCTTAAAGATATTTCCTACAAATGGCATGTTGCATGTC